ACACATTTGTGGAAAGGAATCAATGTCAAATGCATCATGGATACATTCTTAAATTCTTTGATTTAAGATTTGTTAGCTCTTGATATCTTATTATGGTTGCCAATATATCCATTTACAGATCACTCTGGAAAACATTTTTTGTTGGGAGAAAAAAGTAAAGAAATAAAAGGAGAGTAATTTGCCGGTAAAAAAGAAGTCACAGGCAGCCTGTTGTGCAAGAAAATTTTGAATATGTATGCAAGATATAATTAATGTTAAATTACAAAAATATATATGCCATCATTGCAATGCACGGGTAATTAACTAGCATCAGTGGTAGGTTACTTGAAGTGTCAGTATTATGTTTCGGTATAATAGTTTAGCTGAATCCAACATGATGTTCATCTTCTGAATCATGATTTATTTTTCATACATACATGAGGGCCTTTTGCTGAAAATTTGTTTTGGTTACCATTTTGTCTGATTGTTCAACTTCTCCATCCTAGAGCACATAGGTTTTCGTCGCGCCCCTTGCACGCTTGATGCTATTATGCATCTCCTTGCATCAGATGCAAAAGGAGGGATTTTTTTTTTTTTTTTGCTTCAGATCCATACGTACGGGTATTCGGTATTCGTAGGAATACAAATGTGACACGAGTGAGCTCTGACTTAGACACATGCATGTTTCTTTCCATTTCATTTGTATATACAGAAAGAAAGAAGCAAAGCGATAGCTTAAGCTTAGCTTGGCTCTGCCTAGTCTTCTTTCTCCCATTGCTAATTCAGTTCAGACTTCAGACTACAGTTCCTAACGAAATGAAGCATGACCACTGAGAGAATGGCGGCTGTCCTAGCTGATTGATCGACCGGATGGATGGATTGATCTTGGTCACTGCGTCCTCGCGACCCTACCGGCCCGCTCCGCCGCAGCACGCATGACGCCGTCTACCACCTGCGGCATGGACGGCAGGTTGGCACCGCAGCCGACGCCGGAGATGTACCTCCGCACCTCGTCCCGGATCATCTCCTGCATCACCGCCGCGAACTCGGGGCTGAACGGATACGACGTCGGCGCCGGAGGGGGCGGCGGCGACGGCGGGGATGGAGACGGCTGGTGGAAGTGGCTGTGGGAGCTGTCGTGGTGGAACTCCTGGACCTCTGTGGCCGTGCCGGGGAGGGAGAGGGAGAGCGAGGTGAGCGGGTCCTCCGCCTCCTCCCGCTCCACCTCATGCCGCCGGCTCATGGCGCAGTCCGCGGGCTCGAACCCTCCGGCCCGCGCCACCGGGCGGTAAACCTGGCCGAGCCCGAACACACTTCCATGGCTGACGTCGCTGCGGTCCGAACCGGAGCCGGACCCCGACCCAGATCCAGACGTGCTCTCCGGCGTGACGCTGGCGCGCTTGCACGGCCGCTCCTCCTCTGCAACGCCGACATCGGCGAGCCTGCGCTTGAGGGAGCAGTTCCAGTGGTTCTTGACGGCGTTGTCGGTGCGGCCGCGGAGCAAGCGCGCGATGGCGGCCCAGCGGTTGCCGAGCCTAGCGTGGGCACGCGCGATGGCGGCGTCCTCCTCGGCCGTGAACGGCCTGCGCTCCACGCCTGGGGACAGCTGGTTGCACCAGCGCAGGCGGCACGACTTGCCGGACCTGCCGGGCACCCCGCGGCCGATGGCCGTCCAGTTGCGCGCGCCGTGGCGCTCCACCAGCAGCCGCAGCGCGCCGTCCTCCTCCGGGCTCCACGGGCCTCTGATCCGGTCGCACCCCTCCATCGCGATGGATCGATCTGGCTAGCTGGTTTGATGATGCTACGACGGGGAGGATCGATGAACTGGGATGGGAGAGTGATTGATTCGTCGTGGGTGGCGGCGAGCGGTGGTGGTGGTTGTCGGGGGGGAGGAGATGGGAGCGTGGTATTTGTAGCCGGGGACAGCCGGTGATGTGGCCGGCAGCAACAGCTGGCCGCACGAGGCCACATCCAACTGCAACTGCAACTGCATGCACGTACGCATCGGAGACGAAACCTCCTGCCTGGTTCGGTCCAATCCTACCAGCGGCGCTTGTCGTTTTCGCAGGCTGGATGCCATGTGGGGCCGGATCGAGGAGGGCCCGCTTCTTGGTTTTAGTTTTGGCCACCGTGGATTTCATTCAAATTTTGAACCGTGGTAGAGTAGCGTCCTTTGTGTTGGTTTGTTTTCTAGTAGTACTAGCACAAGAGTGCTGCTATGCACACGATACTCTTGAACGATTCTTGGACGATAATGCAAATCAGACCATCTATATAAAGGACTAGGTGCAACACAGCCAGTGGATTAAACATATCGTCTCTGAATCGTCCAGCAGTATCGTCTGTGAAGTAGTTTCGCTAGCACAATGCCCCTACGGAGCCATAAAAACGACGATGGGAAACTACTAGCTTAGGAAATCATCAAAAGATGATCTCTTAAATCTATGGAGTGTAAATAGAACAAAAGGTCATGTTGTAGTCACTGATGATTTGTAAGTGCCTATTGTAGGAATGTAGGTCCTCTACAAGATTTACATTGAGATAACATTTTAAATTTTTTAAACATCGGCGAATGGACGAGTAATTTGAATGCATAAGATCGTGGATTTGGTAGGAGGACAACGTCTATTACCACGTTGAAATTGCAATGTGTTCGGTCTCTTCTACTATCCTATAGAACTAGAAGAATTGATTTGGTAGAGAAATTAAAATAAACACCATGATTTTGAATTGGAATCGTATGTATTTATAATATATGTTTTATATGAGTGTTATGCTCACATTAGGGTAGCACTGTATTTGTTTATCTGGGATCGGATAGGTCAGACAATAATAATACTTGTTTGTTATATCTTTTGAAATGTTGCTAGTCTAAGCAGGAAAGATACGAGGGGCAAGGGGGGGGGGGAGTTTGGAGAAGATGAATGAATACGCAAATATGATCTCTATTCTCCTCGTTTCGACTCGTATTTTTTGAAATTTAGAGCAGCTACAACTGGAATGTGGTAATTTGAGTCCCTATATGATTGCAGACAGCGTCCGATCAGCCCTCAAATGTCTGTGTTCATAGCTGCCCCTCAATATTAAACTCTCCAAATTCATGCAACATGGAAATAGATCCACATATACATAGTACTCCCTTCGTCCCACAATATGAGATGTTTTTGCAAGTTGTTTTAGCTTGTAAAAATGTCTTACATTATAAGTTGCGGGAGTACAATTTATGGAAACCGAACAAAGCAAGTTCAACATGAAACTAGCCATAGATTGTTCTGTAGGAAAATACGATCTAGAACTACTCCCTCCATTTCCAAATATAAGTCTCTTTAGAGATTTCAATACAAACTACATACAAGGGAGTAAATACTAGTGCACAGGTGTCCATGTGGTAAGTGAGGTGTCATTGTCGATTGGGGAGGATGAGGGGAACCCACTAAGGTATAGGGCTGCGTGGGCCTTCTCTTTGGGGAGGCACACGGCTTTCACGGTGTTGGTCACCGAGCAAGCCATTCCAACTCCTCGATGCGAAGCCATAGTGCCTTGGCATTTCTGCGGCAACGGCGAGCGTCCATCTTCGTCGAGGTCAAGGTTCAATGGATGGCCTCTCGGAGTAGGTCTCCCTCCAAGTTGGGAGGACGGCTTGATGGTCATTTACTGGCTAGATCCGACCTCTACAGCTCTCTTGGTTGCTTGTTGTCGTGTGCAACGACCTGCACTTGCTTTCGATTGGAGGGGTATTGGAGAGTCTGAACGTTTTGGACTGGACGTACGGTGTTTGTTTTGGTTGCATTTTTGTGATGGAACAATGACCGGATTGTCGGCCACGGCGTTTAGGGCATCTTCAAGGCGGACCTGCAAATCGCCCGTATCCGTTCGGATCACGCTGTTCGAACCGCCGATGCCATTCAACGCAGGCCTGTATCGGTCCGTAGGGCATTCCAGACGCATTTTCTCCCGCAAACCGGAGACAAACATGGGAAGTTTTGCGGGAGTCCAGGCACCAGACACGTAGGACTCCGACACCCTTAGCCCACCCAAAACCCCTTCCGGACCCCGCGCGTCCATCCTCCTTATTTTTCTTCTTCTTCCTTCTTTCTCTCTTGCCTTCGGCACCGCTCCACCACCCTGGCCTCACGCCACACCATGCCGAAACTCTACGTCTAGCAGGGCTTCATCCCACTACTCCTTCGTCACCGTTCAAGCACTGTCCTCCGACCGCCCCGCCAGTTACCATCCGCTCCTTCTATACTCATCATGCCCGACAATGGTTCGATGAATCGCCGGAGCTAAAAATAGTTTTGTCAGCACCATCCCTAACCCAATTTTGGCCGGAAAAAGGCTCACTTTGCCCAAAGACAAGAAGTAGTTAGAAAGAATATCCAAAGGGCATCTGGTGTTCTGGATGATCGTTATGCAGTTGTTCGTGGACTTGCTAAACAATGGGATCTGGAGACCTTATGGGAGGTGATGACATGTTGTGTGATCATGCATAACATGATCGTCGAGGATGAGGGTGAGGATGTTGCCGCAGCTCTAGAATTTGAGAACATGGGTGATCCTATCCAACTTCCTGACAGGAATCCGTACATATTTGAACAGTTTTTTTTGAATGCATCAACAAATTCGGTATCGACCAACTCACGAGCGGCTGGAGGAAGAGTTGATTGAGCATTAGTAGATGGTTAAAGATGAAAAAGATGTTGGAGGATATTTCAGCTTTTTAAAATTTTAGCTACTGTTGCATGCGGCTATTTAAAATTCTGCATCCTATGTATACGGCTATTTGATCGTGCGGGCAAAAAGTAAAATAAAATTTCAAATGTATGCGGCTACGACTGGATGGCGGCTTCCCGCATCCTTGTTCGTGGACGGATGCGGAAGGAAATTTACGGGTCGCGGTAAGAAATGCCCTTAATGAGAAATTGATTGGTACGATTTTATGTGCTTTCGCTGGGGAGAGGAAGAAATCATGACTGCAACTGAGTTTAGACAACGCCTTTACATTGTCCAGGCGTGGACATTGTCAAGGTCGATATAAAGGATGTGTATATTTGGACGACCATATAGACAAGCTGTTGGACGCCTGTTTTGGGATCACGTCGTAGAAAACGAGTATAGACATCCATATAGAGAAGCTATTGGAGATGCTCTTACTTGTCACGTTCACGTGTCACCTCTCACTCACCTCACCTGTAGGAGCCAACCGAAGCTGTACACAGACCAGAAGCTCGGCGGATGGGATGCTTCCTTGGCGGGACGTGGCCATCTCGCCGGAAGCGACGGTGCCGATGGGCTCACGGAGCGGGCCGGGGACGTGGCCACGCGGGTCTCGAGGCCAGGCTGGCCCAGGTTGGGGCGGCCCCCCGTCCCACCGACAGGTACCGGCGGGTACGCTACGTACGTACTGCCCCAGCTCCCAACCGCAACCGCCGTTGGCAACCAACGAACCAGAGCACGCTCCGGCGGACGGACGTCTTGGATCCGCGCGCGGCGGGGAGGGACGGAGGCAGCTTCGTCGCAGCTTCCTCGGACGGTCCCGTCGCTTAAACATAAAACGACGAGATCTTTGCCCACTCGATCTCCTTCAACCGCTGGTACGTATGATCTAGATGGCCACGATCGCGCTGTCATGTCCGTGCAGGTGCGTCGATCGCATGGCGGTGGAGTGGACTCGAAACCAACCAGCGTAGCGTAGGTACGTTGGGCGACCCGACCCGACCTAGGCGGCGCCCGATGGATGCATGTGGGAGATCCATGCATGCCCCCTTGACCATCCATCCTCCAACTCCATCTCGCCACACACGCCGTACACGGTGATGCATGCACAACCGCACCGTACAGCCGCGGGTACGTGCCCCACTGCCGACGCCCCCTCCGTGCCCATGACGGGTGGGTCCACCCGCACGTTCGTCCGTCGAGCTCCTCGGTCCGCGCGGACAGGCTGGAGCGCAGTGTTCCAAGACCAGGCGCGCGGCTTCCTTGGCGGGACGTGGACATCTCACCGGAAGCAACGGTGGCGATGGGTTCTCGCGGCCAGGCTGGCCGAGGTTGGGGCGGCGCCCCGTCCCACCGACCGTACGCTGCTACGCTACGTGTACGTACTGCCCTACCAGGTCCCAACCGCAACCGCCGCCGCCAAACGAACCAACCACAGCGCGCGCCACCAGTGAGGCTGCTCGCAATGGACTGGTACTTAGATGGGGTGCTAAGCATATTAAATAACTTAGCAATCAAACTCCTCAATGCATAGGTGCTTAGCTTCTTGTAGCTAAACTTCCTTCATTTAATGATTTGGCTACTAAACTCTCTCATGCATTGGTGAGTTTGCCTTATTTAAACGTTTTGCCTAGGTTTACGCGCTTGGCATTGGTTCTTTCTGGGGTCACCAAACCCACCTCTCTCCTCTTAATTGCCTTGCCACATCAGATTTTTTGTCTACATGACATATTTAGCACCCGTACAAGATGAAGCATTGGGAGGGGCCTGATGAGTCCATGGCGGACGGGCGTCTTGAATTTGGATCCGCGCGCTGCGGGGAGGTGGATGCAGCTTCGTGGCAGCTTCGTCGGACGGTCCGGTCCGTCTGTTTTTAGTTTGCATAAACAAAACCGAGAAGATCTTTGCCCGCTCGATCTCCTTCAACAACTGCCGCTGGTATGATCCAGCAACGCCACGGTCGCGCTGTCATGTCCGTGCAGGTGCATCCATCGCACCCGCCCGCCCGTGCAATGGGATATTCGTCGCCCTGTCAGACCCGCACGACCG